ATTCACTTAAGTTCTTAGAGCAGAAATTCTGCCTCTTGGTCTTTTATAAAAATACCTAGGAGTTTTTTGGGAATAGAATTACTTTCTTTTTTTTTTTTTTTCATTTTTGTTTTTTTTCGTGACCGGCAACGGATCGCAACCCTCAGTGTCGCGCCCGTACCGGACCGGGACCGGCAACGGGATCGCAACCCACGGTGTTGCTCCCACACCTCGCTCAGCCAGTGAGCGGGAACCGGTCTGTATATGGGATCCGAACCCTCGGTGGGAGTGCCGCCGCACTTCCCAAGCGGCGCACTGTAGCAGTGCGCCACCGGGCCGGCCCAAGGGAATAGAGTTACTTTCAATTAGAAAGGCTTTATTTAAAATGGTATCTTAGGGGAAGTGAATTTTACCCCAAGTACCAGGCTGCCGATCACCCCTCCCATCTCCCCCCATGCCTTCCAGCACTCCTGTGCATGGGTGGACTCCATCTGTTTTGGTTCTGCTGTCATTGGCTTGGGTGACTGCTGCCAAGGCCCACTGTACCCACCTTCCAGCTCCGTCCTTTCTCCCTGCTTGCCTTCATTTCCATACGCTTCCATTATTCTTTACTAGCTGGTCTGGGATCTCACCTTTCAAAGGTTTTGGGGTTTTTTTTTTTTTTTTTTTTGGATCATGCCAATAACTATTGCTTTGAAAAGAGAGAAATGGTATTTTGCAATTTGCTTTTAATCATCAATGAGTAGTAGCAAAGGGTGTGTCTCTTCTTCGTGCACTGTATTGGATATTTATGTGTCATTTCACAGCACAAATGAAGCATGTTGCATTCTCTTTCCCATTTGTGGCTTGTGCCTTTTGAACATTGTGCTATCATTCATGGTCCAGCTTGGTTTTCATTTTTTTCTGTTTCTATCACAAAACACCCCAAAGACCAACACTGTCAGTCACAGAATCTAAAACAGCTGGTTCCCGGGCCCTGCCTCGCACTTTGTGGCTTAGGCCTTGTCTTCTCTTCCGGAATAAGTGGGTAGTTTCTTCCTACTTTTTTTCTTTTCTTCTGTAAATGCAGAAAAATGTGTCAAGTGTGGAGACTGCTCTTTCATTTGAAGGGGGTGCTAGATCCAGCTCTGTACCGTGGCTTCCGTTAACTGAGTGGTCTGCGCTGGCCGTGGAGGGGAGCCAGATGGTGAATGGAAGCAGATCTTCCTTGCTGTCTGCATTTTGATTGTAGTCTGAAAGTTCAGCGCACTTCAATTATGTGACCACGCTCTTTCACTGGGTACTGAATTTTTGTGATCTTTTGGAAATGATAGCAAATAATACTTCGGAAATGATACCGAATACTTTATAACATGATTGAACACATGTTGAATGCAATAATGGATTGAATTCAGGTATTCCTCTGTAAAAACTTCTGTTTATTGTTTAAGAGCAAATTAATATACTTAATTTTAAAGGTGTAGAAAGAATACGAATTTTCACGCTGGGCATAGGAAAAAAGCAAAAGCACCCACCTCCCATAAAAGACTTAATACCCTTAGTACTCAGTGACATTAATTAACACTGACCTGAAGCTGGGTGAAGATGAAATAGAGAAATGAGAGGTGGAGGAGGGAGGGAGGAGGAGTTGGGGACAGATGGGGGAACTGTTGCAGCTCAGGTGTTTGGGCAAAGCTCTGAGGAGGTGACATTTGAATTGAGACCCATGTGACGAGAGAACAGGGACAGCCATGTGAAGAGGGGAACTTGTTCCAGGCAGTGGGGTATGAGGACAGAGGGAGCTTGGCATTTTGGAGGGTGGTGGCCACAGTGTGCTAAGCAAGAAGAACATGCTAGACGATGAGGGAGAAATAGGCGGGGACGAGCTCCTGTAGAGTCTGTCGGCCTGGTGCTGGGTCAGAGATGGCATTGGGGGGGGGGGGGTTGTGGGAAAAGTGTTGGTGGTGATTCAGTCTGGAGATGACAGCAGCTCAGATCAGAGTTAGCACAGTGAAGATACACACGTGGTGAGATTTGTTTGTTCTACACGCGTGTTATGTGATGTGTCTACCGTGCTCCAGGTACTGTTTTAGGCACTGGAGATGTAATTGTGAACTAAATAGAAAATAATTCCCTGTCCTCCTGGAGCTGCCATTGTGGTGGGAGTGATTGGAGGGGGAGAGCTGGGGTATGAAGCAAGTAGACATGGCCTGAGAGGGAAGCAAAATGGGTCGAGGAACAGTGAATGGCACAAAAAGGAGTAAGGGGAGGGGGAACGTAATTGTGGAAAGAACAACAAGATTTCCTGCAGGCTTGGGAGCTGGAGCCCAGAGAACTTGTTGCTGGACTGGACATGTGCGATGTGAGGGGAGAAGAGGGTGAGGAGTGAACTTTGATTTTTGACATGAGCAATTCAGAGAATTGGAGTGTCATTGGCCATGATGTGGAAGCTTGCAGGGTGGATGATGAGGGGGAAGGACGTTGCAGGGGAGTTGTGGAGGAGGCAGATGTGTGTACTACTCTAGAGCTCAGAGGCGTCTGGGCCAGTGACATGCATCGTGGAGTCATCCAGCAAGTGGGTGGCACAGGAGGCCACTTGTCTGGGTGAGATGACAGAGCAAGGAGAAGGCTGTGGACAGTGACCTGCATTTAGAGGTCAGGAAGAAGGAGGGAGCAGCCATGGGTGTGTGGCATCAGGGAACCCTAGAGCAGGCAGCAGCCAGATACCATGAAGGCAGGGGACTGCTGTTGGCTGTGGCAGTTGTTGGGGGCTTTGCTGAAAGATGTTTGGTGTCACTTTGGGGACAGTATCTCAGTTGAAGTGGGTGGAGGCAGGCAGGAGGTGAGGGTGCTGAGAGCTGGACTATTGACAAACCTTGTGTCAAGTTTTACTGTGAAGGGGTCAGTGTCTTGTGTATGTGACCTTGTGTGAATGACTTGATTTCTCCAACTCTGTTTCCTCGCCTTCAAAATGATGATGTGACCTGGCATGAGGCATTGTTGGGAGTACCATGAGGTGAAACAAAATGACCCATCACAAGCTTCTAGCACAGCCTCTATCTGGCACATGGGTGTTTCTAGGTGCTGGTTGCTCCCATTCTCTTCTGTCTTAGGGGTGACATTTTTCCATCAGTAAACAAGGAAGTTGGACCAAATGAGGTTTCACATTCTAGGTTCTGAAGTTCTGCCCCCTCTTGACCCCTCTCGATCCCTCCGCTCCCCCTCCCACTGTCTCTGCTCACTTCCCTCCTGTGACTGTAATGCCCAGAAGGACTTCTCTACTCAGCTTTGATTCTGTCCTCCAAAATGCCTTGCTTGGGCTTCTTTCCCATTCAAGAGCCTTGAGAGAGGCCTCATTCCTATGAGATGAAGGTTCTTGTCCTCATGTATGGTCCTTTATGACATGGGCTCTACCAGACTCATCTGCCTGCTCTGCATCCCTGACCATCAGATCTGCTGCCTTGTCTCTGGCCTCTGGAACACTATGTTTTAAATCCCACTCACTCTTCAAGAGCCAGCCAAACTCCCGTGCCACCTCTCGTCTGTCATGCTTAAGTTCAGTTCACATGGGAGTGCGCTTGCACTGTGCACACAACTGGCTACCTCCTGTCTCGTATGACAGTTGCTTATCATGGGTCTCAACTCCTGGCCTTCACCAAGAGCCTCCCCAGAGAGCAGGGTGCTACTTCTTTGTATCTCTCACGGTGTCATGCATGTTGGGTGCTTCAAAAATTAATGAGTTACATCAATAAGAAGACTTCACTGTGTGCAAAGCCTCATTAGTGGGGTTGGGGATTCTTAAATTCTAAGAAGGGATGGTAACCAAGGTTTACTTGTTTTTGTTTTTGCAGTGTATGCCTAGAATTTCAAAAATAAAACAAAGTCTTCCAGTATTAGGCCATTTTAGCAAAAGATTTTAAAATCTTCAAATGCAGTGGCCCAACCATTCCACTTGTAGGGATTTATCTTAAGAAAATAGTCTTGGATATCTGCCAAGAATGTTTACTGGGGTGTTGTTTATAGTGTGCAACACAGGAGGATAATCTAAATGTCCAACAATAAGGGATTGGTTAAAAAGAAATTATGGTATATATTCGTACTCTAGTGTTACTATCTCCTTAAAATGATGTAGAAGGATATTTATTGACTCGATAAAATGTTCATATTAAGAGAAGGAAGTATGTTTATAAGTACTATATTATTACATGATTTCATTCATCTTAAACTAAAGAGAAAGGATCATTGGTATAGGTAGTATTAACATTTATTTTTTGGATGTTGAGATCCTTGATTATTTTTACTTTTTGCTATCTATTACCTACCCTTTCTATAGGAGGCATGCTTTATTGATTAATAAAATATGTATTAAGGTTGGTATTGTATGCCTCTTTTGTTTATTAAAAAATCACATTTTTTATCTTTCTGTTAAGTAGTTTTTATGTCTACATTCATGCAGCATAGGGGGAGTACACAAAGCCACCTGCCTGTGTCAGGCGGTGGCAGGAAACATGGCAGCATGTCTCTTTGAGTCCCCACTTTTCTGGTCCTGCTGACTTCTCCAGTGTAGACTATTGTTGGGTGTCCTTCAGGCTGGATGCAGTAGTAAGTTGTGGGTACTTGGCTTCTGAGCTTTTGTTGAGGCATAGGGAGCTGGTGCTCTGCAGAAGGTATGGCGAGCTTGCAGCCTGACAGCTGTGCCGTTAAGAAGGCCTGGGTTGCAACTCTGACCTTGCATACAACCCTGGGCTCTAGGCTTTAGCTTGCACATTTAATGGAGACAGTCTTTTCCCACCATCGGTGAATGAGTTGCACAGTGTCTGGCCCAGTATAGACACTTAGGAATGATATCTAACTAGCTAGCTACTCAGATAGCCAGCTACCCATACCTCAAGTGAGTCTGCAGTGAAGAATTGAGCCTTATTTCCTCAATGATGATATAGGTTTCCTAAGAACTGACCAGATTATGGGCTGGAACATAGTTTTAAAAATTATTTCCTTCTAACTGAGACCTGTCCTGCCTTTGCTCTCTTGTCTCCCTTCAGTCTGTGGGCCGGGCATCGACATCCGCAACGACTATCAACAGTTGAAGCGCCTGGAGAACTGCACGGTGATTGAGGGCTACCTCCACATACTGCTCATCTCCAAGGCCGAGGACTACCGCAGCTACCGCTTCCCCAAGCTCACGGTCATCACCGAATACCTGCTGCTGTTCCGCGTGGCCGGCCTCGAGAGCCTTGGAGACCTCTTCCCCAACCTTACGGTCATCCGTGGCTGGAAGCTCTTCTACAACTATGCCCTGGTCATCTTCGAGATGACCAATCTCAAGGATATTGGGCTTTACAACCTGAGGAACATTACTCGGGGGGCCATCAGGATTGAGAAAAATGCTGACCTGTGTTACCTCTCCACTGTGGACTGGTCCCTGATCCTGGACGCGGTGTCCAATAACTACATTGTGGGGAACAAGCCCCCCAAGGAGTGTGGGGACCTGTGTCCAGGAGCCATGGAAGAGAAGCCACTGTGCGAGAAGACCACCATCAACAATGAGTACAACTACCGCTGCTGGACCCCAAATCACTGCCAGAAAAGTAAGAATGATGCTGACTGCTGCTTGCTTTCTGCTTCTTTCTTTTCTCTTCTTCTGAATGCATGGGGGCGGGGTGTGGTTTTATTGTATTTAGGACATGGTACACCTGTTGTGTGGAAGTGATTCCTAGTGGGGGTCTTGATTAACTTTCCTTTTGCATCTGGCAACTCCTGGAATGCAGGACAGTGGCATGGCATGCTACATTGTAGAAATAATCCACTGCACTTCTGGGCTGGGAGCTTGCTGACCTTCAGCTTTGGATTCCTGATGAGAAAGGTGACCTGGTGTGCTTGAAGGTCCCTAAGCCATGGTAGCTGGGGGCTGCTGATGGGTCAACTCTTTCATCCCTTCTGTGATATTTTCTGGTATGGCAGGACTTCCTTGGCATGAGTGTACTTGGAATATGGTTAAATAAACAAAAAGTAAAGAGCTAATTCCATCCTGTGAAAGTTGTCCTTGGTTTTAGTGGCGACATTATGATGTTTAGGTGTCCTGGTTTATGATAGAGCACCTAGCCAAGGTGAGAGACCTCTGGACCAGTTTCCAGGAGTTCGAGGTTCGGGCTGTACTTGCAGGTAGCTGTGTAGTGGGGTGCATTTTTAACCCTCTGGGCTTCTATTTCCTTTTTTTCTACACCTATTTACTGAATAGTTGTAAAAATCTTATGAAATCACTTAGTGAAGGAATTTTGAAAAATGTTTATTGCTCTTGGGGTCAGGCAGTGGTATTCTAAAGCTTCTCATATATTTATCTGCAGTAAGCTTATTTTCCTTTGAGAATAACCAAACTCTTGCCTTAATGTGATCAATACCTTGAGAGCCAGGTTGTTTGCTGCTAAAATGTGACTCTGGGCCTTTGCATTGTTGGATTCAGCAACGTTTAGGTATATTGGCCAGGAAGGCTCCCCTCGCTGCTTGGAAGTCAGTGTGTTAGCTATAAATAGCTATTATTTAACAGTTGGCCCAGTTAAAGACCCAAGGAGCCCATGTACTCTAGCTAGTCATGAAGAGCCAAGAAATCCCAAATTGGTAGGCTTGCCTAAATCGTGAAGTGTGTGAAGTAAACAAACAAAGGCCAGACCTCACAGGAAGCCCTTGTTTCAGTGCCCCTTAAGCAGGGCTGACGCAGGAAAGAGGGTGTGCTCCCTCTGCCCGCCACACACCTCTGCACTAGGCGTCATTGGGTCAGTGTGTGTGTGAATATCTGATTAGTAAGGGCAGGCTGCAGCCAGTGTCTTGAAGAGCTGAGAACCTGATCAGGCCACGTTAAGGAGCACCGTTGGCTAGAGTTGGAGGAAGGTACTGTGCTAGTCACTTTTGTGATTGATTAAAACTGTCCCCTGTCATTAGGTTACCCACTGGTTTGAGAAAATCACAAAATACATTTTTAAAATAGCCTTGACATTGTAAAGGTGACATTCTGTTATTTGAAAGTAAAAGGTGTCATCAAGGGAGGGTAGTGGAGAGACGTTGGGTGCAGTGATGAAGGAGGGTCCTGGTGGTGGCCTTGGATGGGGTCGCCCCCGTAGGATATCGTTGGGCATCTTTAGAATGTTCCTAAGGCAGTCCCATATTATCCCTTAATGGCAATCACATATATGTGTGAAAGTCTTTTGAAAACTCATAAGCTCTGTACAAAAAGGAGGTGCTATTTAAAAAGTTATTAGGTGGACCCTTATTCAGCGATTCACTAGATATCACGTTGGTCTCGCTGTGGGTTTTCAGCTGTTTCTGACCAGCTGCTTGTTGAAGAGGCCTGAGACGGGGTGAGGCCTGAGTTCTGGGTCCAAGTCTCAGAGTGGTGACTGGAAATGAGAAGGAAATTTAAATTGCCTGGCCTGTGGTTTCTTCATCTGCAAAGTGAGGTAGAACCTGCCTTCCTCATGGAGTTACTGGAAGATTAAAAGGCAAAAGGGAAAGCACCATGAACAAGTAATGGAGGCTTAGAAGTTGGATCGTGATGCCGGTAGTCGGGGGAGCCTGTTGGCTGAATGCCCACTTCCTGAAAGCCATGCCCAGCAGCCGTCTCCTTGGCCAGGTGTTTCAGTCCTGCTCATGTTTTTCATGGTTTCACAATGGAGCACTTACTTAAAATTGATAACCACATTCGAGGAAGTTGTCTTCCTTTCACTCTGTCCTGAAAACTTAGGCATGGGCGTGTTTCTTGGAGGTGTTCTAGTTGAATCAAACTCTTTCTCTTTGCATAGATTCCCTTTAGACCTGTGATGTCTGGTGTGGTAGCCACCAGGCACATGCAGCAAAAGATACTTCAATTGTGGCCTGTCTGAATTCAGACCTGCCTTACATGTAAAGTACATACTGAATGTCAAAGACACAGTATGGGAAAAACCCTGTAAAATATTTCACTAATAATTTTTATATTGATTACATGTTGAAATATAATATTTTAGATAGATTAAGTAAAATGTGTTTTTAAAATTAATTTTATTTATTTATTTATTTAAACTTTTTAATGTAGTTGCTAAAAAGTTAGAAATGACAGACGTGGCCGGCATTGTTTCCATTGGCAGGTGCTGCTTTAGCACATTCCTTTTGAGGCCAGGAGTTCTTCCCCTCCTCATCTCTCTGGCTGACTGGCTACTGTGGTGCTGCAGTGTCCCTGCACCTCTCGAGCCAGAACCCTCAGGAATTATTGGGGGAGCCAGGTGAAGGGCACTGAGTCCAGACAGAATGTTTACCTTTAGTTCAACATAAGCGTTAAGATGGCCATTTGAAAAGACGTGTAGAAGAATCCCATTTGGTATTCTTCTGTTAGCTGGCTACAGAAGTAGGGAGAACATCTGGAGAGAAACGTTAACGGTCTGTGTGAAATTATTGATGTGATGGAGAAACATTGGGTTGTGTAGTGCTGATCCACAGTTTTTACTTGACACTCTAAACTTTCATGTCATGGCTCTGCTGTGGCTGGCAGCGTAGCAGACAGCCCCACTAGGGGAATTACCACTCTACGACTCTACACACTTCTGTATTTCTCCATTCTCTTAGATTTGAGGGAAGATTTTATGCAGGCTTGAGTTATTCCTAAAAAGTGATTGACTCTTAAAGAATTGTGTATGGCTTTTTCCTTTCAGTGAGAACATGACTGATGTCCTTCCCACATCATCCTCTTCTGACCTCTTCCTGCCCCTATTGCTGCTGCTTTTCTGTCTGCTTTTCCTCAGTCAAGTCTTTCTTCAATATTTGGTGGTCTTCTGTCTTAGTCTGTTTGGGCTGTTACAACGAAATACCACAAGCTGGGTCACTTATAAACAATAGAGATTTATTTCTCACTGTTGTGGGGCCTGGGAAGTGCAAGATCAAGGTGGCAGATTTGGTGTCTGTTGAGGGCCCACTTCCTGGTTCATATAGATGGCACCTTTTTGCTGTGTCTTCATATGGCAGAAGCGGATGGGGTCTCTCTCAGGCCCCTTTTATAAGGGCACTGATCGTATTTATGAGGGCTCTACCCTAATGACTAAGCTCCTCCCAGAGGCCCACCTACTCACACCATCACCTGGGATATTAGGTGTCAACTTATGTATTCAGGGAGACATAAACAGTCAGACCATAGCATGGCCAGAGATCCCCCAGTCCTCTTTGTACTTTCTTTGTTCCCATTTCATCCACTGGTACTTCATTGTCCTCCTGTCTCCATCTAGCTTCCAAGTGTCTTCACCAGCCCGGACCTCTTTGAGCTCTAGACCCATGTATTCATCATGTCTAGAGGACCATGGGCATTTTGGAATCCGATGGTTTTCCCTGACTCCTTACTCTAGCTTGTTGTTTTTTCTGTATTCTCTCTTGGACAGGCAGCACTCTTGTTCCCCTACCTCCCATGTCAGAAATGTGAGTGTCCTTTGGACAGTTCCTTCTCCAGTTGGACACCAAGCCCTTTCCATCCCAAATGCTGCTTCCGTCTGCCTTCCTCCACCCTTCTCTCTGCCCATGCAGTGACATAGCCTCTCTCTAGCATCTTGCTTTGGCCCTAGAAAACTTTCCAATACACACTTGGGGCTGATATGCTCCCCTACCTGAAGTCCTATAGCGGGTGCCTGTGGGATAGGCCCTCGGCACTCAGTGAAGCTCCTTGTTGGTCCACCTCCTGCTCCATGACATGGCACTCTGTGTGCCACTGCCTCCTGCCCACCTGCAGCGTCCTTGACCCTGGTGCCGCTCTTCTGCGCTAAGCACTGCTGCTCACAGGTCTGAGCTCCAGCCTTGCCCTTCCCACCGGAGGACTTTAGGAGTTTTCAGACTCCATTGGGAGCCTGTCTCACAGCACTGGTGGGGAGCACTGTTTGCACAGCTCTGTAAATTCTGGGTGTATCCTCCAGTGTATGATTATTAACCCAGGGGCAAGCCCAGCAACTGCTTAGTGAAGGATTTATTGTCAAGAAGATGCGTTTTCCCCCTAAGCAGAGACCCGTGTGTAACGGCTGTCCTTGGCAAGCCAAGGGATGTTAGGGTTATGAAATGCGGATGTTTCCTACATAGTCAGGGTCATTGCTGCTGAGGAGCACTGTCACTAAAATGGTCTCCAACTCTAAGTTGGCAGAGAGGATCCACCCTGAGTAGTAGCTCTTTTCTTTCCTGCCACTGTCAGTATGATTCAAGGCTAAAGATGATGGAGAAGTATGAAAATCATCTGAAAGGTTGAAGTATGGTCTGTGAGGCTGTTCGTCCCTTTGTAAGGCAGTGTTGCTGAAGGCCAGCCTTGCTGGGAGCGGCAGAGGTGAATTCTCCAGAGTGCCTGTGGTTTTCCTACTTCACAATGAATTTGTTTAAGTGGTGCCTGGTGTTTGCTTGCCATAGAGGCTTTCCGGTATTTGATTTCAGGTATAGACACCCGCCCCGCCCCCCCCATCAACAAAAGCCAAAACCTAAGACCTTACCGGTAGCTACACTTAGTCTCCCAGTACTTTTTAACCCATCAGGATGAACAGTTTGTGGTCTGCTCAAATCGCCCTGATCGCCTGGTCTTTGCCAAGAAATCCACGAAGAC